TCACACGCCAACATGAAATCCTAAAGATTTCAATATAATTTGCACACTGTTAACCCTCAGCTCTTTTGAGGCCAGGTCTTTCTTCTAGTATTCAAACTGATATTCCAAACATTTTAGTTTGGATGCTTCTTCTTAGTCCAAACCAACCTTGCTAAAATTGAATTGTTTATTTTCCTCTTAAAGAGTCTTCTTTAAACATATTTTCTACAAGTATTGCAAATATTATAATCTACCTTGTAGAACATGCATGTTGTCTTGATTGTATTTTTTCATTATTCATCTGTTCTTTTGTGCCTCATATTCAGCTCACTGTTAAGATTTCTATTCCTTTAAAACATTCCTGGAATCCATTCCCTTTTTTTGTAGTTTGTTTTGTTTTTCTTTCTTCTGCTAAAACTTTAGTTTCATTACTTCTTTTGCTTGATCTTCCACAAGCTCATATTAAACTTGTTTCCTTTTAAAACTGTGTATTACAGATAATTTTTGTTCCTACATACATACACATCTTTATGGAGCCGCTTCACTGCCTTCCTGTCAGGATTCCAGGATTATAGATTGCAATATAGATTTCTTGTTCTTATTTTAAAATACCTCCATGGTCAGTCTTCTCTTTATCTTTCAGCCCCAGCTTCCCACTATATACGAGTACCTATTTATTCCCTCTGTGTTTTTTTTCAGTTCTGTGCTTCTCCTTTGCCAGATAGTCTTAATATTCTTTAATTATACTTGTCTTCCTCACCCTTTAACTATACTATATCTGTCTTATGCTTATGAAATTCACAGGTGACACAAAATCGGGTAGCATAGTTAATATCCTTGAAGACAGAAACAAAATTCCAAAAAAATCTTAATTGGCTCAAGCACTGGGCTGAAAACACAGAATGAAATTTAACAGGGATAAGTTCTACAGCTGGGAGGGGGGACCACAAATGCTCAGCTATAAGATGGGGGATACTTGGCTCAGTAATATATGAGCAAGAAGGATCTTGGAATTTTTGTACATCACAAGCTGAATATGACCCAACAGTGTGATATGGCTGCAAAAAAGCAAATGCTATTTTATGAAGATCAGTTAGAGTAATCAGGAGTATTTCTGAGGACTTTGAGAAATCTGTTCTGTTTCTCAAAACAAAATGTTGGGCTTATTTTATAACATCAGGCTCCAGTTAGATGGCTAGGATTTCCAATAGATACCAGAAGCAAAGAGGTACCAGATGTCTATGAGGCCAGAGCTGCATCAGTTAAGAAAATAATCCTTGGGGTGGTTGAAAGAGTGCAAAATGATGTGTAAGTGAGCCAAAAAAGTAGAGTATACATGTGGGACCTCTTTTGACCAAACAGCTGAATAATTGGTTGTTGTGGGTTTTCCGGGCTGTTTGGCCATGTTCTTAAGGTTTTTCTTCCTAACGTTTCACCAGTCTCTGTGGCCAGCATCTTCAGGGGACAGGAGTCAGAACTCTGTCTGTACTCTGTTGCAGTTTGTTGGATAGTTGAGTGTTTATAGCTGTGGGATCAGCTT